GTGAAGTAACATTCCACTTCCACACCACTATAATCTTGCAACAGAGCTCTATAGCTGTGTGCTTTGTTACTTGTGCTATATTAAGAAGGCTACAGTCCACTTGTAACAATACTTTCTCTTATTTAGTCAACATACTGTATTGCATATTAAAAAGAATAATAAGTATATTTTATAATTATGATAATAATAACATTAATTAGATAATTAGTATAATATTGATCACAATAATTTAAATAATTTAAAAGACAATTATTTAAATAATTTAAAAAATAATTATTTAAATAATTTAAAAAGTAATTATTTAAATAATTTAAAAGATGATTATTTAAATAATTTAAAAGACAATTATTTAAATAATTTAAAAAGCAATTATTTTTAGAAAAGTGAATTGGATCAGGTTAAATAAAAAAAAAATTAGCCAACAAATAATAAGTTTTATATCTATGGAATTAGAAGAAGTTACATCAAACATCTCCTATAATGATCATGATAATGCTTATGATAATAATCATAATAATGCCTATAATAATGATTATAGTAATAATCATGGTAATGACTATAGTAATAACACTGATGATAATTTTAATACAACTAGCAAGCGAAGTAATGGAAATGAGGTGTAGGATTTTTTTTAGAAAGGTTGTATAGCAAGGTGAAAAAATGGCTAAATATAAAGTATCAAAGTGCAAATATGATGAGTTTTTTTGTAGAAAAGAAGGCACTACCAAGCCACTATGGTGCTACTTGAAAAGTATACACTAGACTTAGTATATTATGATAGAAAAATTTAATAAAAAAAAAGGAAGACACAAAGTGAATATAGTACTGTTGAGAATGTGTTTAGAAAGGTTAGCTTTAGGATTCTGCAAGTATTAAACATGATACTATTAAAATATAATGCCTGATACAGGTGTTATATTTTAATAGTATTATGTCTAACACTTCAGAGCCCTAGTTAGTTCTTCTCTTTTTTATTTTTTTTATTAATTTATTATTATTAATTTTAAGTTAATCTAATTTGAAAAATATTGTATAAAATCTTAAAGACCTAACATTAGTTGATATTGATAATATAAAGATTCACAATATGTTTTCTGCCTAGATTATTAATCATCAATATCCATTTAATATAATTGAAGACTCTGAATTAATTGAAATTATAAAATATTTAAATCTCATAGCACAGTTAATTAAAGCTGATACAATTAAAAAAGCAATAATATCACATTATAATTCAGAGAAAAAGGAGTTAAAGACAAGCTTACAATTGTTATTTTTTAATTTAATTGATAATCTGTCAGTCAATCAGAGAAAATGATCTACATTTACTAAGTAAATATGATGTAATTTACTTAATAAAAACTCTAATTTTCAAATATACAGATTTTAGTGCTGCTAAGAGAAAAATACAACTTCAGACTTTTAAGCATATTATAAATCAATAATGCAACAGGCTTTAATTATAGAATAATGTATTAAAAATCCTCTAAAAAATATTAACTAGTTTTATATAATTGAATGCCTGTTGTATTACTAATCAGAGAGAGTCAAATATTTTATAATGTGCTTAAAAGTCTGAAGTTATATTTTCTCTTAGTAGCACTCATTTATTTGCCACTTACTGCCTTTTACCTTGCTTAATTTATTACTTACCCACTTGCTTATTTATTACTCAAAGATCTAACCCACCTACTTATTTATAGCTTAGTGGATGTCTAGTTGGTCAATCATTGAAATGTATAGTTATATATACATAGTTAGCTTTAAATAAATTGGTAGCTATAAAAATAATTTGTCAAAAGATATGATATATAAATTTTGAAACTAACACTTTTCATTTTATTTACAGTAAAAATAATTTGAAAAATAGAAAAATAATCCAGAAGTTAGCAACAGAATACATGTTTTGTTCTATAGATTAAAGTAATTTAGCAATGGAAAAGGCTTTGGCTAATAAATAAAGTTTTTTTTTTAAAGCTTGAAAATAGTGATTTAAACAATACTTACTGTTAATTTTTTTTGAATATAGACTATTTGGCCAAGTTTTTAAAAGTGACAATAGATTAGATATAGAGTATATATAGTATACCTGTGGCCAAAATATTAATTGTGATAGAAATTATACTTCATATATATTAAGTCAGATCCACAAACTTTTTTGGTATTTTAGCAAGTCTTTTTTATATTTTAGCAGACTCTGGAAGTTTTGGCTATATATTAAATATAAAATATCAAAATTCCAGAGCCTGCAGATCTGGCTTAACATTTATAAAGCCTAATTTCTATTATATTTACAAATTATTGATAACTTTGCTTTAAATAGCCAAAACATTTCAGCCACAGATATAATGCATAGAATATATATTATTACATGCTATGTTCTATAGTTAGTGTCCAGTTTTTTATACTATCTATACTTTTCATACACATGTATTACTTTTATTAATAGTTCTTTTAATTCATTTACATTATTTGTTCTTTATCTTATTATTAAATTATATACTATACCAGTCAGTAAATGATTTGGTTAATAAAAACTACATATTATTTATTTGAGAAATTGTTTTAAGTTTAAAGACATTATTTTTTTATTAGATTTAACTAGATATATATTTACAATAGTTATTGGGTTAATATGTTAAAAATTGTTATAAAATCAAAATGAAAGCCTGTTATGCTGAATTGTATAATGAAAATAGTATGTATTTCAGAATTATGAAAAATAAATTGAAGATTACAGCAGAGACAATACCCAATCCAATGTGAATCTCTCTCATCTGTGATCAATCACAAATTAAATTATTTATATTAAATTCAATTGTGATAAATATAATTCCTTATCAGTTTTAATGTATGTATAATATTAACAGTCTTTGCTGTAATTAAAAAAGAATTCAATTCAATATATAGTATAAGAAATGTGATTATCAATAAGTAGTTAATTGATAGGAATGATGCATTAATTATGTAGTCATAAAGTTAAATTTTCACAAAACTTTACTATATCTGTTAACAAACAACTAACTGAAATGTATATTTATCTACTATATGAACATATACTCCTTCCTTATCACAAACTAGTTGAGCAATTTAACTATAATAAATACTCTTACTTACTTCTTAAATCTTCTAACAACTATAAATTCTCAAATTTTAATTTTGAAGAATACTTAATATCTCATTTCTTTATCACTCCAAACTTTTTACCCAATATATTATATATATATAAATCTAAATATATCTTAATTTCTATTAAAATTGCCTCATTCAACACAAATAGACTTTTACAATCTACAAAAAAATTATTAATTGAAAAAATCCTAGACTAAAACACATATGATATTCTTGAACTGTCTGAAACATATTTAATAATGAAAGAAGGTCCTTTGGATATAGAGTTTCAATAATGTAATTTCTTTTTTGTAAAGAAGTCTAATTGAATTTTAATAAAGATAAAGACATGGCCTCACCTTTGAAGATTAAAAAAAAAATAATAATAATAATAAAAGAAGATAAATTTCTTAACAATAAAGCCAAAACATATGTTAGTTATTGGAGTTCTTATACCAACCCACATTAAACTGATGTTAGTTTTTTTATCTATAACAAAATTTCTAAATATATAGTATGTGTATACAACTATAATAGTTACATTATTAGCTTTGAACTTTACTTTAAAAATACTTCTATTAGATTACTACAAATATATATCCCTACTGAAGAGAAAAAATAACTTTAAAAAGATATTCAAAGCAAATTATTATATTGTATCAAAACTCAAGTTACAAAACCATAATTATGGGAGATTTCAACAGTATTTCAAATACCCGTATTAACCAAATATACTTCAAAAAGTCATCAGTCCCAGAAACCCAACTTATTAAATATTTAATTAGTTATTAATTCAAAGATATCTATTACTTCTTCTTTTCTAACACTTAAACTTTACCTTTTAATACTCTAATACTCAAAATAGAATTGATCAAATTTGAACTAATCTAAGTATTACAAATATAAATTATATAAATATTCTACCAAACAATAATTTTAATTCAAACCACAATATTATAACATTAGAGCTATCAATTATAATTAACAAATCTAAACCACAAAAACAACACAAAAGATAAAAATTTCTATAGAAAAACTGTACTAAAGAAAATCTAAACAACTATACAAATCAAACTACACTCAATCTACAAAGCCTCAACTCACAAGTTAATACAATCTTCAACCAAAATTAACCTAACAAATTCTAGAATAAATTACAAAAAACTTTTAAAAAGACTGCTATTAAACATATTTCTTTTTATAAAATTAAACTATTAAAAAAATTAAAGAAACTATTTCAACAAAACAAATGCTACTTTTTTACAGATTTAAAGAAATCCAATATCTTAAAAATCACATCTTCTCTACTAATTTCTCTACACTTTGCAAAAAGTATACAATTCAATACTCTGACTGTCTCTTCTAAACTGAAATATTTATCTTATTTCAAATCAAAGAAAAATTCTAACAAATCAAAACTGCTCTTAATATCTAACAACAACAAACTACCTATCAAGAAATCTAACAAAAAATTAAAAATCAGAATTAATCTTTTCTAAAAATACCTAAACTCTTTATAAAAAAATCTTTGAAAGATTTAATAATATTCATATTAATAAACTATTTCTTAAGAACTCTCTTTTTACAAAATATAAAGAAGTATTTAAAGCAATTCATAATCACTTCTCAGAATATTTTTAAGAAAAACCTCTTCAGCTAATTCAAGCATTTTCAAGTTTTATCAACTCTATTAACCACATTCTGAATATAAAAAACTTTATTAAAGCCTATTTCAAAACATCACTAACCAAGAATAGCAGAATATTATAACCAATTTGCCTAATCAAAAAGCAGCTAAATCCTCTAAAATCTGCTATAAACATATTAAATATACTAGTTCCAAAGTACAGATACTCTTTAACTATTTTTTTAACAAGTGTTTTCAACTTCAAAAAGTTCCTACAAACTAAGTTTTTAAACATCTTCCTTATCCCAAATAAGTTTAATTAGGATTTTACTCTTAATCAAGTTTGACCAATATTTAGAAGCTTAAATTTTTTTTAAAATATGTCTAAAGCCTTTGACAAAATCAATATATTTTGCCTTCAAAGTACTTGTAAAAGAATTGGTATTTCTTCTGCAGGAATTAATCTTATTACTGAACTACATTTCTTTAGACAAGCAAGAATTATTATAGAGTATAGACTTATATCTTTAGTTAATATTTAATCTGGAATAGAACAAGGAGAAACCTATTTACCACTATTCTAGAAAATCTATTATGATCTAATACTTACCTTTATCTATCAAAAATATCAAAACAAAATG